AGATTAAATAAGGTCAGACTTTGTCTAAGTTTGAATCTGGAAATGTCTTTCAAATTCTCATGTGTTAAAGACTTGGTTTCTAGCTGGTGGCACTACTGGGAGTGGGAGAGACTTTAGGAGGCAGGGCCTGGATCACTGGGGACCCTGGCTCCTCTCCCTGCCCCTTCCTGGCCGCCATGAGGGAGTGGCTTTCCTTTACCATGCCCTTCTGCCATGATGCTCTGCCTTACCACAGGCCCAGAAACAACAAAACCCAACTTACCATAGACTGAAACCTCTGAAAAAGTGAACCAAAATAAACTTTCCCTCCCTTTTACATTGATTTTCTTAGGTGTTTTGACACAGTGATGGAGAACCGAACAACACAGCTCTTGTAATTACTAAACAATAGGTTTGATTTTCATGAAGGTCACAACTTTGATTTTCATCCTGAGTTTCTGTTTTTTTTCCTGAAATTTTTAAAGAACATTATTGTTTGGGCCTGATACTTCACATATTTGATATTTCTCTGAAGATAAATTATTTTAAAAAATTTTAGCAAATTTGTACTTTCACTCCCAAATTAGTCAGTGAAGAAAAATAAAAATTGCCTTCGAAAACAAATGCATTTGTAAATGTCAGGATTTGAGATCACATGAACTTTAGGAGAACACAAGTCACTAACGAGGAAGGAAGGACTGGATAAAGCCTGAAATTTTAGGTCCCAAGAACCATTAACAAGAGTCCTTTGTCATGCAAACTTGAAATATTTGATTACAATTCAATTCTATTTACGGTACACAGTGCTATGAAAGGCACAAACCTTTATGGAATAAATAAATGGAAACTGTGGACTATTTCCAATTGTTCTCAATATCATTAAGTTTCTATATAGAAAAACTATTTTCAAGACTGGGGGTGGGGGGAGTCTCTGCGTGTTCTGAGAGACTTAGCCACAAAGCATTATCCAGAGCCAGAATGTGTTTGTTATTGAAGGGGGTAAAGGGAAGCTTGGAGAACTGTAGGAAAATCTACCTAGGGCCTATTCACTCTAAATTTTTATTTATTAATTTGTTTATCTATTTATTCATTCATTCATTTTTATGCTGGGAATAAAACTGAGCGTCTTGTACATGCTAAGTACATCTTCCACCCACTGCAATCTAAAATTTGACTTAAAAGGCAAGTTAAACCAAGAAATAAGTATGCAAGCAAATGGGATGCAATGGCTCATGCCTGTAATCTCAATTAGTTAGGAGGCTGAGTTAGGAGGAGCACAAGTTTGAGGCTAGCCTCAGCAATTTAGCAAGACCCTATTTCAAAATTTAAAAAACAACAACAACAAAAACCAGGGCTGGGGATGTAGCTTAAAGGTAGAGCACCCCTAGGTTAAATCCCTAGTACCACACACACACACACACACACACACACACAGAAAAATAGAAAGAAAAAGAAAATAAATTTAAAAGGCCTGTTAACATCAATATCTGGAGCTAAGCAGATTCTACTTTAAAATTAATAATAAATATCAGTTAAGCACCTATATTAACATGATATTTGATAGCAGGTACAGTAAGCTAAATAACAGAAGTTGCATTGAATTAAGGATATATTTTATTTTGATGTTGGAAAAAAATCAGTGACCTGAGCTGAAGATCTAACTCATTCGTAGAGTGCTTGCCTAGAGTGCACAAGGCGCTGGGTTCAATTCCCAGCATTGGTAGGGAAAAGTTAATGAGCTATTTTTTAATATTTTTAATCAGGCCCAATCACTGTGCCTTGTACAGTACTGACAGTAACAACACTTGAAGAATAGACAGGATTTCACATTCAAAATGTTTAATCCTGAACCGTCTGATAGCAAAACAGGTTCTCTAGTTCTCTTTTTGCTCCTCATAAACAAATGCAAGAATCTTCACCAAAAGATCTTCAGTCATGCAAAAATGAAGTAACTGACACTATGGTAAATATAATTTCCTTACAGGGATATGCTTATTTAAATTGCTTTAACAAATAAAAATAAATAAATGAATAAACAAATTGCTTTAACAGGGGCTGGGAATGTGGCTCAAGCGGTAGCGCGCTCGCCTGGCGTGCATGCGGCCTGGGTTCGATCCTTAGCACCACATACAAACCAAGATGTTGTGTCCGCCGAAAACTGAAAAATAAATATTAAAAACAAAAAATTGCTTTAACAGAGCTGGAAACGTACCTTAGTGGTAGAATGTGCGCTTAGCATGTGCAAGGGCCTGGGTTTGATCTCTAGCACCACTAATTAAATAAGAAAATAAATTGTTTTAACAATCACTAAAGCATTATGTGGCTGAGATTTTAGTAATGACATTACCTGTTGATGGCTAAATCTTAATTCCCTATATATACCACCTGTGCCTGAAGGGCCAGACATTTGGGAAGGGGTATTTGCACATGACCTGTTGTGGTGTTTGTGTTTGTTTGTTTAATGCTTAAGCACAAGCTTTATCAGGGAGCTACATCTACAGCCCCTATCCTGTTGCTTCTGCTTGTATTCCCTGAGAATTAGTCCCAATGACTTTTAGTAACATTGTTTCCCTTCTAACTTTTGACCTTGACATAGTAAATATGGAATTGCACCTATTCTTTTTTTTATACCACTTATTCTTTCATGGCAGTCCCAAACAAATGATAAGATGGATCATGTTCCCCCTCTTCGTTTTATAGGAGCACCCTTGATTTCCAGACAGCATCCTTTTCTCCCACTCATCCTGTTTCTTGGAGGTCCACGTTTCCTGCTGAAGACCACCTCACTCCTCCCCACCAACTCTCCATCATAAAATATTGCAAACTTCAGGATTCTATTTCCAAAATCCACTGTCCCTTCTGATTTATACTGGGTAATCACAGGTTATTCCTATTCAAAAGTGTAAGCACACCCTTTAACTTACCAAATAGACCATTATCTTTCCCTGCCCCCAAACTTTATTTATTTTTGTGGTACTGGGCATTAAACCCAGGGGCACTCTACCTCTGAGCTACAACCCCCTCTCAGCCCTTTTTAAAAAATGTTTTTGAGCCAGGGTCTTGCTAAATTGCCCAGGCTGGCTTAGAACTTGAGATTCTCCTGCCTCTCCTGGGATTACATCTGCGCCCAGCCAAACTTTCTTTATTTTGAAAAATGTCTACCTCCAAAACAATTCACTGAGCTATTTGAATAATATATGATTGATTATATTATTAAAACAATGACTATGAATGAAGAACATTACATGCAGTATATTCTTTAATCAAAAATCTCTCTGGCTGGGTACAGTGGTGGATACCTGTAATCCCAGTGGCTCAGGAGGCTGAGGCAGGACGATTGCAAGTTTAAAGCCAATCTCAGTAATTTAGCAACTTAGTGAGACCCTGCCTCTAAATAAAATATAAAAAAGGGCTGGAGATGTTGTTCAGTGGTTAAATGCCCCTGAGTTTAACCCTTTGTAAAACACACACACACACACACATCTCTCTGAAATGGGAGATTTCCATTTTTACAGATGAGGAAACTGAGTCCTAGAGAATGTAAATAAAGTGCCTAATATCACATGTTTAGTAAGATACAGAATTCAAACTTTCATGACTAATTTTAGGATATTGTTGTTAATCTCTGTACTGTAGCTATTAAAATGCATGTCATGACATAACAACTAAATGCCACGTGTGAACCTTGATTAGACCCTGGTTGGTGAAAAATAAACAAAAGGTGGCAAGGCCCAAGGGGTGGCCCATGCCTGTAGTCACACATCTATAGTCCCAATTACTCAGGAGACTGAGGCAGAAGGATTCCTTGAGTCCAGGAGCTCAAGACCAGCCTGGGCAGCATAGGAAGACCACAAGTCTGGGGGGGAAAAAATTGTATAAGCACACACTCACAGATCAATTGTGGCATAAAATTAACAACTAATGAATCAATGTGAGAGATACACGGATTTTGTTGTAATAGTCTTTCAACATTTCTGTAGGCGTGACAATTTCAAAATGGAATGTTGAGGGGGAATGTATGTCTAGAAAGGGCGCTTGAGAAATAATTCATAGACTCTCAGGATTATGAGATTTTTACATCACATAGTCTTACACAATCTTTCTCTTTGCTGACACTTGAGTGTTTCACCAACACCATTAGCAAAGATCATAATATACTCAGTGTACAAATAAACATTTAAAAGTATAAAGATGTACATGCTCTGGGATCAAGTTTTTCTCTGTGAGCTTGTATTACCATAAAATCTCACCTATTTTTGCAATTATGTATTTTCAGAAAATTTCATTAAAGTTTCTAAAATTCCATTTAAAAAGTGCTAAAAATTCAACATTGCCGGCAGCTGCAGTAGAACACACCTGTAATCCCAGCTACGCAGAAATCTGAGGCTGGAGGATCTCAAACTCATGGCAATTTAGAGACCCTGTCTCAAAAATAAAAATAAATAAAATAAACCTCATTGGCTACGATACTGCCCAACTGTACAAAGCTAAAAAAAATAAAATAATAGTGACTTTTAAAAAGGGTTGAGGTCATAGCTCAGTGGTAGAGTGCCCCTGGGTTTAGTCCCCAGTGTCTCCCGTCCCCCATCCGAACTGTTTCCTTTCTCATTGGAAAAATCTGATAATGGAAATTGAAAGCCTTTTTTTGGTTCTTTTTTTCCTGTCCCATCTACTGGTAGAGCAGGATTTTGCCACTGGTTCTACCTAAGCACAGAGCTGTGCCTGCAAACAAATACTACACAAGACAGGAAAAAGTCTTAAAATGTCTTAAAGAGGAAAGTGGAGGCCTAGAATACTTCAATTTTGGACTAGAAACACATTCTTTAATGCCCAAGCCTCTGGCCAACAGCGGATGGAGAGGCCATTGCTCGAATCTCTAGAAACTGGTAGGTCCCGGAGGTAGCAGCGGCCCACTGGCCAGGGCGCGGCACGCCCCTCCCTCCGCCTCGGCCAATCGGCAGTGAGGAGGCGGGGCCAGGGACCGCGCGGGCGGGGCGAACACGGAGTGGGTGTGTCCGGGGCGGGGGCCGCAGGTCCCAGAAGGTGGCGACTTTCCTGGGCCTGTGGCGCCTTGGCGCAGGTGGAGAGGTCAGGCTGGAGGGGGCTTCGGCCTCCGGCGTTGGGAAATGGCGGCGGGGGTCAGAATAGAAGACGTGAGTGCACGGAGGTGTTGGGCGACTGTCCCCGGAATCTCCTTCCTGTGCTGGGGTGCACAGGGCGGAGACTGTCGGGGCTGGGGAAGCCTCAGCGCGACCGCGGCCGGAGGGGGCGCCGCCTGCGCACGGCCTGCCCGGGGCGCGGGGTTAGGGGAGAAGGCGCGGGTACGCTGTGGCGTCCGCGACACGCCGGCCCCGGGCCTGTTTTCCCCGGGTGGAAGTCAGGGTGGGGTCCTGCAGGATGGGCGTGCGGGTGGGGGGTCCCAGGCCGACGCCAGCCCACTTGTGGCTCCCGTCGTTGGCCCCGGAACTAGGAGCTTCACGTGATGCGCGTCTGGCCTGACAGCCTTCCTCCCGGAGACGGTCCGGCTGCGCTCGACTTGAACGTCCAGGGGCACAGGGGGCGAATCTTCCTTGTGGGCTCTCCAGGGTGGGCACCGGAGGTCCTTGGCCCTGGAGCAACAGCAGTGCTGCCGCTGGACGCCAGCGTCCCGCGGGCAGACCTGTCGCTGTCACCTCCCGGAAACCCCCATTGGAGAAAAACAGTGTCATGTGCAGTTTTGAACTTAGGCGTTGTAGAAATAGAAAGATTTTAAAATTTTAGATCCGAACTAGATTATCCAGTACCCCAGTTTACAGTGTGTACGGTACAGAATGTTACCATTATTGCAAAAATCTTGTACCTTTAAGTTTATTAAGACAATTGTATTTATTTATTTATTTATTTATTTGGTACTAGGGATTAAACCCAGCCAGGGGCGCTTTACCTGTAAGCTCTCTCCCCACCCCTTTTTATTTTTGTTTTATTTTTGAGATAGGGTCTCACTAAGTTGCTTAGGCCCTCGCTAATTTGCTGAGGCTAGCCTCGAATTTGCAGTCCTCCTGTTGAGTCCTTGGAATTACAGGTGTGTCCCACCGCACCCAGTGTACAATTTTAAAGGAAACATGTATTGCCCAAAATTAAGTTAGTTGCCCATTGGCACTTTTTTTTTTCTTTCCCCTCTTTTGGGAGAGGACAGGGTCTCTCTAAATTGCTGAAATTGCCACACACTCCCAAGTTGCTGTTAATAAACTAATAGCAATATTACTGTGATTTTAATCCTGAATGAGTGCATCAGGAAAAGCAATGTCCCAGCACTATAAGAGCTTGGTGATTAGTTAAATAATTCTGATGAAATAAATAGCAATTCTAATCATAAACTAAAAATTTTTAATTTTTTTAATTGAGAAAATGAAAAATTAACTAACACCTGGAAGTATATTTGACACTCATATATAAAGTAAATCCTTTGTTTTTGATTTTTTTTTAAGAGAGAGAGAGAATTTTTTAAATATTTATTTTTCAGTTTTCGGTGGACACAGCATCTTTATTTTATTTTATGTGGTGCTGAGGATCAAACCCAGCGCCCCGCGCATGCCAGGCCAGCGCATTACCGCTTGAGCCACATCCCCAGCCCTGTTTCTGAATTTTTAAGGGTGACATTCTTGAGTTGATAATATATGGGAATATCTAAAAGGAAAATGAGACTTAGAAAAAAGCACATGCAGTGTTTATTAGTTGGTGCTTAGCTGCCCCCAGAATTCTTAGATCTGTGTCTTTAAGTCTTAGTAGTACAATCATAGAAAACTTTCACTGGACAAATTGAAGAGCAATGTTTCACCAACAATGTATAGCAAAATTACTGTAGATCTGAGTAAGTTGCTGCTTTTGGTACATCTAATGTATTATTTCTAGTGTTCTGTAAATAGCTAAAAATTATGGGCCAGAAACTTGAATGTCTTAAAGAGTCAGACTGTGTGTTAGTTAGGATTCATTGTTTGCAGTAAACTAATGGCTAATTTACAAGGACAAGGATTTATTTGAAAGGATACAGAGTGCATGAACACCAGGGTCTCTGAAAGGACTCAAATAAGAGCAGCTCAAAGGATCTAAGAACTAAGTGAAGTCCTTTCCGGGTCTACTCTGGAATGAATCTACCACAGCAGTGGTCTGCCTTTCCTTTCCTGTGCACAGAGTGGATTGGCCTAACCATCCTCCTTAGGCCTGAGGAGAGTAAAGGAAATGTATGAAGGATACCCCTACAATGCAGAAATGTCAGTGGGTTGCCAAAGGAAATAGTCACTGTCACAAAAGAGGAGGGAAGAGAGAGTACATAAGTGGAAACAATAGATAATAATAGAAGGCTTGCCTAAGACAGGAAAATATGACCTATAGTGGGTCATTTGAAACTGATTCAGAAACAACACAGAGACAGATAGCAAAGACAACATGTAACTGTTTTCTGTATGTTCAAAAGCTGATGCAGAAATAAAGAAGGTATAAAGTAGACCCAGTTTGAACTTGTAGAGGTGAAAACTGCAATGTTAGATGAAGAAGCAGGGTAAGTGTCACAGAGAATGCAGCATTTGCTGTGACAAGTGTTTGACAGATGGGGAAGAACAAGTAGAGACAGTATAGAGATTGAAAACATTTCATGGGAGATGGGAACAATCAGTAGTGAGCATCAGGAGGGAGAGATGGCAATAAGCAAATCCTGAAAAGTAGTTTGGGTCAGAGTTGATTCTCTGTCCCTTGCCCAAATGATCTCTTCTGATGAGCAGAGAAGTCTGGTGATACACATAGCTGAGATGGAGACAAGATTTGGGACATTCATCCATCCGTCAAATGTTTGCAGAGTGGGGCCATGAGATACTATTGGATACTAGCATTCTGCAAGACAAATTAGAGGTGGGAAGTTAGTGGGTCCTAATGAGGAAGACAAATAAATACAAAGATTGTTATTGAATAGTGTGGTACAGGCAAGCACAGAATGCTTTAGAAGACATAGAGGGCTGGGGTGATCCAGATTTGGGGTACCCAGGAAGGCTCCCTGGTGGGAATTGCCCCATCTGGTCAAGGAAGGATGCTCAGACATTAGCTAAGAGCTTTCATGACTCTATTATTGACGACTTGAAAATTCCAAGCAGAAGGGTCACAAGGAGAAGGGAAATAATCAGAATTGTACCAAAGCGGGAAGCTGTGTAGGCGTAGAGTAGGAAGATTTGCAGGGCAGCATTGGATGCCTGAGACTGGAAACTGGGGAGCCCACCCCAGATCTGGGTAGTGCTTCAGATTGGTTATTCATCTTTGTCATCTTAATGCCCAACAGCTCTCCCTTCCACTATTTGTCCCTTATTCTGTGTCTGGATTCTGTTTTCAGGCTCCTCTCTTGCCCACTAAAATTCATTTCCATCTCATTCTAATGCAATTACCTGATCTAACCCTGTTGCAACATCTCTTTTTTCATTTGCCTGTTTATTAACTGCTTCCCTGTAGGTTCCATGCAATATATTCCATTACATGTCCTTGTCTTGTCTAGTTTATCATGTCTTTATCTGAAACCCCAGTGAAAATGTAATCTTCTATGTTTTTACCTCAGGCACAGCACCTATAAATTACAATTTTCAGTAAGGGCCTGAGTTTGAGAGGTTGTTATGGCTCATTTGTATGCAAGAGAGACATGGAAGTACTGTACCTGTCAAGACAGTACCTTTAAACATGACTAGCTGAAAATTTTACATCCCACAGGAACTCAATCTTTGTCAGCTGCTTCAGTGACATTAGAACTAGCTGTTTTCAAGCTAGGCCTCCAAGCTCACGTCCTTAGTGCCAGAGTTTGTCAGGCTCAGGCAACAACATCCTTGAATCTAGGAGTTCAAGAACAGCCTGGGCAAAACACAGAGAGACCCCCATCTCAAAAAAAGAAAAAAAAAAACAACTAGTTGTTTTTGGGCTGGGGTTGTGGCTCACTACTTGCCTAGCACGTGTCAGGAACTGGGTTCAATCTCAGCATCACATAAAAAATAAAGAAATAAAATAAAGTTATGTCCATCTACAACTAAAAATATATTTTTTAAAAAAACTAGTTGTTTTTATTGAAAATATAGTTTCTACAAACTGAAGACTCCTTGAAGGTCCATCAGGATGATCTGCCTCCATTGGTACTCGTTAATATTCTTTTTTTTTTTTTTTTTTTTTTTTTTTAATTTTTTATTGTGGGTTGTTCAAAACATTACAAATTTCTTGACATATCATATTCCACACTTTGATTCTAGTGGGTTATGAACTCCCACCTTCACCCCATACACAGATTGCAGATTCACATCAGTTACACTTCCATTGATTTACAAATTGCCATACTAGTGTCTGTTGTGCTCCGCTGCCTTTCCCATCATCCACCCTCCCCCCTCCCCACCTCTCCCCTCCCCTCCCCTCCTCTCTCTCTACCCCCTCCACTGTATAACCCTGAGGGTCTCCTTCCATTACCGTGTTAACAAGACTGAAAGTTTATTTTTTAGGCGTGTGTGTTGCTAAGGATGGGACCCAGGGCCTCACACATACTAGGAAAGCTCTCTACCACTAAGCTACACCCCGCCCTGTTTTAAGCATTCTTATAAGTCTCCATCAGCTTTTCAAAGTTTTATGGAATACCGGAGAGATGCTTTAAAAGAATTGCTATCATAGCCAGGTGTGGTAGCACCCATGCTCATAATCCCAGTGACTCAGGAGACTCAGGCAGGAGGATTGAAAGTTTGAGGTCGCCTCAGCAATTTAGCAAAACCCTGTCTCAAAATAAAAAGGGCTTGGGATGTAGCTCAGTGATAGAGTGACTCGGTTCAATCTTCAGTACTCAAAAAAGAAAAAAAAAAGCCACCATGGTGGGTTGAAAGTGGGGAGATGTAAGTCGGAGGAAGGTAGCAAATATATAGGATGAGAAGTCTAGAAATGTGAAGCACAACATGAAGACTGCAGGGAATAAAATTGTATTTGAGATGAATAAATTCAGCTGCTTTTGCCACAAGAAAACAAAAGGCTATCTAGCGGGGCATGTGGTGCACACCTGTAATCCCAGTCACTCCAAAGGCTAAAGCAAGAGGATTGCAAATTCAAGGCCAGCCTGGGTAATTTAGCAAAGCCCTGTCTTGAAATAAAAAGTAAAAAAGGGCAGGGCAAGTAGCTCAGTGGTAAAGCTTCCTTGGATTCAATCCCCACCTACTACCAAATAAATAAATAAAGTTAATCAGTTTTGAGAGTGTGAAGAAGTGGTTTATTTAAATCTCATTATGTAAATTACTTTGTGAATTGTAGAAAAAACTGAGTTAAGATTTCTGGCTGGGCATGGTGGCGCATGCCTGTAAATCCAGCTGCTTAGGAGGCTAAGGCAGAAGAATTGCAAGTTCAAGGCCAGCCTCAGCTACTTAGTGAGGTCTTAAACAACTTAGCGAAACTGTGTCTTAAAATGAAAAGGGCTGGTGATGAAGTTCAGAGGTAGCACTCCTGGGTTCAATCACCAATACAAAAAAAAATTTAAAAGACTTTCTGTGCCCACCAGGTGTGGCACCCTCCTGTCATCCCAATATTTGGGAAACTGAGGCAGGAGGATTACAAGTTTGAGACTAGCCTCAACAACTCAGAAAGACCACATCTCAAAATTTAAAAAAAAAAAATTAATGGGCTAGTGTTATGGTTTGGATGTAAGGTGTCCCCCATGTGAGACATTGCAAGAAGATTTGGAGGAGAAATGATTGGGTAATAGCCTTAACCTAATCAGTTAATTAATCCCTGGTGGGATTAACTGGGTGGTTACTGGAGGAGGTGGGGTGTGGCAGTAGGAAGCAGTTCATTGGGGGCGTGGCTATGTATTTTGTATCTGGAGAGGGGAGTCTCTGCTTCCTGATTGCCCAATGAGCTGCTTCCCTTTGCCACACTTTTCCTTCCGCCATGATGTTCTGCCTCACCTCGAGCCAGGAGGAAGGGAGCTGGCCATCTGTGGACTAAGACCTCTGAAACTGTGAGCCCTAAATAAACTTTTCCTCCTCTACAGTTGTTTTGGTCAGGTTCTTTAGATCATAGTAGCAAAAAAGCTCACTAAAACAGCCAGGAAAGTAGCTCAGTGGTAAAGCGTCCGTGGGTCCAATCCCCAGTACTGTTAAAAAAAAAAAAAAAAAAGTTAAAAAAAAAATTAAATTTCCCCTACACATTTTAATACTTCTTGTTTATAGTACTTATCTAGAAGTATTTTTTTAATTGACTTTAGGAAGGGTATGTGCTTTTGCATCTAATTTGTATCATAGTTTTAAAAGCATTATAGTTGGGTGGATTTGTCTTGGAAACATACTCCAGAAAGTAGTGACCATAATTTGATTTTTTTTTTTTTTTTTTGCACTGCAGGGTTCCTTGGACATTATCCAGAGTATTGAAGAGGACCCACTTCTGGATGCCAAGCTTCTCCCGCATCACTCATTACAAGCTCATTTTAGACCCAGATTCCACCCTCTTCCTACAGTCATCATAGCAAATCTTCTTCTGTTTATCCATGTAAGTTGCCAGAGGGGATCTCTCCAGTGGTGATGTCCTTAAAAATATTGAAGCTCTTCAGAGGGCAACTGGACTTAAATTTGTCAATATTTAGAATCTACATGCTTTCTTGATCATGCCTATGCTTGAGAGAATTTATAATAGATACATTTGTACAAGCATAAGGATATTGTTAGGAGCAGTGTTGACTATCACATTAAGACTGCAAACTATGCGGCCTGGTGGCATATGTCTGTAATCCCAGTGGCTCAAGAAACTGAGCAGAGGGCTGGGGATGTGGCTCAAGTGGTAGCGCGCTCGCCTGGCATGCGTGCAGCCCGGGTTTGATCCTCAGCACCACATACAAAAAAACAAAGATGTTGTGTCCGCCGAAAACTAAAAAAATAAATATTAAAATTCTCTCTCTCTCTCTAAAAAAAGAAAGAAAGAAACTGAGCAGAAAGATTGCAAGGTCAAGGTCAGCCTCAGCAACTTAGTGAGGCCCTCAGTAACTTAGTGAGACCCTGTCTCAAAATAAGAAGTAAAAAGGGCTGGGGATATGGCTCAATCCCTGTTACCAAAAAAAAAAAAAAAAAAAGACTGCAAACAGTCTGCTATCCAGGGGACATTTTATGTGTCCCATGAATGTAGACTATTATGCAACTATTATAAAAGAAATGTGCATATATTAACATAGAATAACCTTCATTATTACACTATTGACTAAAAAACAATCAGGTTTTCAACATTTTGTATAGAATGTTCCTGTTAGTAGTTTCTTTTTTTTTTAATTGAAAAAGAGTAAATATTGTGCACTACATAGTATTTTTTAATGCCTTTATACATGTACTTTGTGGGTTTGTTTTTTTTTTTTGCATTACAATTCTTAATACACATGTATACCACAATTTTTCATATTCCTGTTAGTAGTTTTTAAAAGGGAGAAGAGAGGGCTGGTGTGTATACATATTCCTAAATATCAGAATATTTTAGGGTAGTCACAGACCTTATTGATGTAGGTTGCCACTGAAGTGGAGAATGAGGACGTTGGTGGAAATTACAGTAATATATTTTATTGTTTACTTTTTGTATTACTATTTGATTTTTTTAACCATGTACATGTATTACTTTTTCAGTTACAAAACAAAAAATATATATGCAAATAAGTATACACAGGAATTTATCAGTTTACTTACACTTAGGAAATAATGTGAAGCAGAAAAGTCAAGTTTCAGCAAAACATTGTGAACAAAACAGCTCCATGTTTGTATGAAGATAAAATTACAAATGTGTAAGTAGGCCTTCTGGTGATGGCTCTGCTCAGTCCATAAAGCCATTTCCTTGGCCAAGTATGGTGGCATACACCTGTAATCCCAGTGACTTGGGAGGCTGAGGGAGGAGGATCACAAGTAAGTTTGGGGCCAGCCTTCACAATTTAGTGAGATCCTGTCTCAAAAAAAAAAAAAAATTTTTTTTTTTTTTTTAAAGCCAGAAAGAGGGAATGTAACTCGGGAGTAAAGTGCCCCTGGGTTGTATCCCCAGTCCCTGTTCCCCTGCAAGTAAAGAGAAAAAATAAAAAGAAGTACTGTGGGTTGATATTTGCTGCAATGTGAACAGTCAAAAAAAAAAAAAAAAAAAAAAAAGGCCAAGTTTCCCTGCTCTTTGGGTTTTGAGGATAATAGTGGGGATTGACTAGGCCCAGCTGATGCTTCAAACCCCATCCAAAAGTGCCTACCTTTCTGCAGAAGCTGCCTGCCCCAGCAAGTTTCCCAGTTTTCTCTGCAACTGGAATCCCCTCCTGTGAGGCACATGGGCGGAGACTTATACTTGGAACTGAACCCCTGAGAGGGGCAGCGTCTGTCTTCCTTGCAGGGCTCTCTGGCTGTGGTGTGACTCTGCCATCACTTCCTGAACGCCAGATCTCAGCTGAGATGCCTCCGGCCTGATACTGCCACATGCCGGGGTGGCTTCTTTTTCTTTTAGCTTTCACTTATTGGATAGCACACTTTATTTACATAAAGAACATATATCGGGGCTGGGATTGTGGCTCAGGGATAGAGCGCTCGCCTAGCACGGGGGGACCCGGGTTCCATCCTCAGCACCACATAAAAATAAAGACATTGTGTTGTGTCCATCTACACCTAAAAAATAAATATTAAAAAAAAAAAGAATATATACCCACACATTACTTTTTAAAGACCTTTTCATATTAAATTACATTTCTTTGATATGGTGGGATTGGTTTTTTGGGACTAACAAAATCTTAAGTGTTTTAAAAAAAAATTGCCAGGTGTAGTGGCTTGTGCATGTAGTTCTGGCTACTTGGGAGGCTAAGGTGAGAGGATTACGTGAGCCCAGGAGTTCCAGAGCAGCCTGGCAGTGTAGCAAGACTGTCTCCCAAAAGGGAGGTGGGCAGTGCAAGGAAAAGAACAAGTAATAATAAAAAGGGCTAGCACGTATCTCAGTGGCAGAGTACTCGCCTAGCATGTGTATGACCCTGGTTTCAGTCCCCGGTACCACCAAAAAAGAAGAAAGAAATAAAAAGAAAAATTAATGTCTTTTATGGTTCTTGGATTCAGTGTACACTGTATTACTTAAAGGGGATATATATTTTCAACATTTTGATTTGTGGTGTTAAGAACCTTGAATTGTAATACTTACTCTCGATATTATTCCTCTTGACAAATCACTTTGACAAATATTGTGCTTTGTTTTGTTTTTTGTAACTTTTTTGAGATACTGGGGATTGAAGCGGGGGTCCTCTACCATTGATCTACTTAATATCCCCAGAACTTTTTCTTTTTTAAAGACAGGTTTTCATCGAGTTGTCCAGGTTAGGTTCCATTTTGCTATCCTCTCACTTCAGCTTCCTAAGTAGGTAGGATTACAGGTATGTGTCAGTATACCTGGCTATATTATTCATTTTTTAAAATACTTTTTTAGTTGTCAATGGATCTTTATGTTACTTATTTATATGTGATGCTGAGTGTCTCACACATGTAGGCAAGCATTCTGTCACTGACTACAACCCCAGCCCTGTATTATGCATTTTAGTAAATTTATTTTGTGTTCATATTGCCAGCTTTTAGATGTTTAGCAGTGAATGGTAGTGATAGCTTCTTTTTTCTCTTTACAGTACTGGGTATTGAACCTAGGGGCACTCTACTACTGAGCTATATCCCCAATCATTTTTTGAGACAGGAGATGGGCATTATTTTGAGTTTAAGATCTCCTTAAGTTGCTCAGGGCCTCACTAAATTGCTGAGGCTGGCCTCAGACTTTCAGTCCTCCTTCCTTAGCCTCCTGAGTTGCTGGGATTACAGGTGTGTGGCAATTTAGCAAGATCCTGTCTCAAACAAAAAATAAAAAGGGCTGGGGATGTAGCTCAGTGGTAAAGCACCCCTTCATTTCAATCCCCATTATCAAAGGATGGGTGGGGAGGGGCAGATCATTTGAGACAGACTCTGGCTATGTTGCAGAGGCTGGCTTTCAGTGTGTGATCTTCCTGCATCAGCCACCCAAGTAGCGGGGATTACAGGTATGTGCCACTGCCATGGCATCCAGATTAATGATGTTTTGAAGTTTGTTTTTGTTTTGTTTTAGTCCTGGGGATTGAACCTAGGGGTGCTTTTACTTCTGACCTACATTCCCACCCCTTTTTATTTTTTGAGATAACTTCTCGATACATTGCTTTAGGACCTCATTAAATTGCTGAGGCTGGCCTCAAACTTTTTTTTAATCAGTACTGGGGATTGAACTCAGGGACACTTGAGCACAAAGCCACATCCCCAGCCCTATTTTGTGCTTTATTTAGAGACAGGATCTCACCAAGTTGCCTAGCGCCTCATCATTGCTGAGACTGGCTTTGAACTTTCGAGCCTCCGGAGCCCCTGAGATTACAGGCGTGTGCCACCGCGCCCAAGTGGCCTCAAACTTTTGATCCCCTGCCTCAGGCTCACAAGTCTCTGGGTTTACAGGCATACACTACTATGCCCACTGTTATATTTGATGTTTTTAAAAATCACAGAATCGTATATCCTTGTGTAACAAATAAGCATCACTAAAGTATAAAGGTAAAATCGTGATCTTCCCTTTCTCTTTTGTCAGTCTTCTCCCTGATGTGGGTTCAGTTTCTTGATATTCTTCACTGCCTTTTGTTAAATTCATGCAAATATTGATGGATGCAGAGGTGTACACCTGTAATTTCAGGAACTCTGGAGGCCGAGGCAGGAGGATTTCAGATTCTAGGACAGCATTGGCAACTTAGACCCTGTCTCAAAATTTAAAATAGGGCTGGGAGTGTAGCTCAGTGGTAGAGTACCTCTGAGTTCACTCCCCAGTACTACAAAAATAAAGAAAGAAAATAGCCAGCTGTGGTGGTGCACAACTTTAATCCCAGCAGCTCCAGAGGCTGAGGCCGTTGGATTGAGAGTTCAAAGCCAACCTCAGCAATTTAGCAAGGCCCTAAGCAACTCAGTGGGTCCCTCTCTCTAAATAAAATACAAAAAAGGGGGGGGGGGGTGCTGGGGATATAGCTCAGTGGTTAAGTACCCCTGGGTTTAATCCCCAGTACAAAAATAAATAAATAAATACAATGCAAATATATACAAAGATATTAGCACCTATACAAAGGGATTTACCCCACTTTTAAAAAAATTGGATCAACGGGTGCGGTGGCACACGCCTGTAATCCTAGCAGCTCGGGAGGCTGAGACAGGAGGATAGAGAGTTCAAAGCCAGCCTCAGCAACAGTGAGGCACTAAACAACTCAGTGATACCCTGTCTCTAAATAAAATACAAAATAGGGCTGGGGAGGTGGTTCAGTGGTCGAGTACCCCTGAGTTTTAGGTCTTCATGTGTGCGAGACAAGTGTTCTAACAAAAAATTATATCCCCAGCCCCTGTGTGTTTCTAACAGTGTTTCTCAGATTCACACATCAGACTCTGCTGACAGGCTTGTGAAAAGACAGATTGCTGGGTTGCATCCCCAGAGATTCTGGCTTAAAGAGGATTAGGGCAGGCTCCAGTGTGTGCATTTCTAACACGCTTGCTTAATCTTAACATATCAGAGAGGCAAACCAATACACAGAGTTGTTTTTGTGTGTTTGTTTTATTGTACTGGGGATTGAACTCAGGGGTGCTTTACCACTGAGTTCCATTCCCAGTCTTTTTTTATTTATGAGACAAGGTCTAAATTGCTTAGGGCCTCACTAAGCTGCTGAGGCTGGCCTCAAATTTACAATCCTCCTGCATCAACCTCCTGAATCTCTGAGATTGGTGAAATGCATCACTGTGTCCAGTGCTTAGTTAATTCTTTTCCAGGTGCATAATATTCTATAACATGGGTGGGTATGTCTTAATTTATTCAAGCATTTCATAGTAGATGGGCAAATATATGGGCAATTTTAGGTTTTTGCAAATATAGGAAGTACTATAATAAATATTTGTATCCCAGTATTCTGGGTATTTGTACTTTAACTTTGGAGCAATAGAGACCTTAAAGTAGGTTTTCTGGGTCAAGACATTTCCAAATTATTCTCCAAAAGCAATTTGCAGTTTAGTTAGCAATTTTTTTTTTTAAAGAGTGAGAGAGAGAGAATTTTAATATTTATTTTTTAGTATTTGGCGGACACAACATCTTTGTATGTGGTGCTGAGGATCGAACCCGGGCCGCACGCATGCCAGGCGAGCGCGCTACGGCTTGAGCCACATCCCCAGCCCAGTTAGCAATTTTTTTTCATGGATATAATACCTTTATTTTGTTTATTTTCATGTGATGATTAGGATTGAACCCAGTGCCTCACAATGTGCTAAGCAATTGCTCTACCAATGAGCTACAACCATAGCCCTAGTTAGCAGTTTTCAAGTAAGTCTTGTGTGTCTATATTCTAGCACCAGTCAGTTAAACTTTTTTTTTTTTTTTTTAGTACCGGATATTGAACCCAGAAGCATTTTACCACTGAGCCACATTCCCAGACCTTTTTATTTTTTGAGATAGGGTCTCACTAAGTTGCTGAGGGTGGCTTTCAATACTCCTGCCTCAGCCTCCCAAATCACTGAGATTACATGTGTGCACCATCACACTCAGCTAAACTTTTTTAAACCATGATTATTATTAGTTACCTTTTAAAAAATTTTTTTATAACTTTTTATTTTATTTATTTATTTTTGTGTGGTGCTGAGGATCAAACCCAGGGCCTTGCGAATCGAGCGCTCTACCGCTGAGCCAAAACCTCAGCCCCTTAATCTTTTTTTTTTAGTTGCTCAAAACACTTAACCTCTTTTTAATAAAAGAGGTAGCAAGAAACTGTTGAGCATTACATTAGCATTTGTTTTAGATGGGATTTGGGATAATTTTTATTTGTGACATTGTTTTTCAAATTTGTAAAAAAATGACCAAAAAAAAAAGGTTTTCAGACTTTTTTATAAAAATAGGATAGTAGGAATTATGGGTGCAGAGTAGTTCCTGGGGTGGCAGTTATTGTTTCCTAATTCCATATATTGAGTATTCATCAGCTGCTTTCCTTTCCGCCAGGTTGTGTTTGTTATTTTAGCGTTCTTGACAGGTGTGCTTTGTTCTTACCCTGACCCAAACGAGGACAAGTGCCCTGGAAACTACACCAACCCACTGAAAGTCCAGACAGTCATAATCCTAGGAAAAGTCATTTTGTGGATTCTGCACTTACTTCTGGAACGCTACATTCAGTATCACCACAGCAAAGTGAGAAACCGTGGCTATAACCAGATCTACCGAGCCACAAGGCATCTGAAGAGCCTCGCCCTGGTGACACACTCCACCGGTAAGCCCGCTTTCTTGGCGTCTCTGGGCCTTGAGTAGCCAAATGACAGCAGAAAGGACCCATGAAGTTGGATTGTATGACCCAGTGTATTCTCTCAGTGTTGTGAGTGCTGTGTGTCATGGCCACTGTCTGGTTTTCTTATACACTTGGTTTTCACTTGAAATTTGCATTGTTGTGGACATGGTATCTGTGTGTCCCTGTGTACAATGTAGATTTTCCCCCCTTTTTGGTATCAGCAGGTTTATTCAGCTTAAGAAGATACAGTATTCAGTAGCCAGGTGCAGTGGTGCACACCTGTAATCCCAGCGATTTGGGAGGCTCAGGCAGGGGGATCACAAATTAAAGGCCAGCCTCAGCAACTCAGCAACACCTGTCTCAAAATAATAAAGGACTGGGGATGTGGCTCAGTGGTTAAGTGCCCCAGGGTTCAATCCCTGGTCCAAAAAAAAAAATCTAGTATCCAAAGTAAGACTTGTAAAACACACAGGTCCTAATTTATGAAGGTATGATCAGAAGCTTCATTTAGGACTGGGAATACATGAATGCTTGATTTTCTTTATTGTTGCATACATTTTAAAGGCTGTGGAAGTAAACTGAATTTCTTTTGGCACTTTTGACTTACCTTTTTAGGAGAACCTCATTTGGAGTCCAGAGTAAACGTTTGAATATTCTGAATCCAGATTAGGAATTCATTTTTCTAGCAGGGCCTGGTGGCTGAGCCTATAAACCCAGCTACCTGAGAGGCTGAGGCAGGAGGATCTCGTATTCGAGGCCTCTGGGCAATTTAGCAAGACTCTGTCTAAACATAAAAATATAGGCTGGGTGCAGTGCCGCATTCCCGTAATCCCAGTGATTTGGGAAGCTGAAGCAGGAAGATTGTAAACTCGTGGTTAGCGTAGGCAATTTAAGACAGGGTCTCGATGTAAAAAATAAAAAGGACTGTAGATAAAGCGCCCGTGGGTTCAATCCCCAGTACAAAAAACAAATGGAGCCTAGCATGCTGGTACACGCCTATAATCCCTATATGGCTCAGGAGGCTGAGGCGGAAGGATAGAGAGTTGAAAGCCAGCCTCAGCAAAAGTGAGGCCCTAAGCAACTCGGTGAGACTCTGTCTCTAAATAAAATACAAAAGAGGGCAGGGGATGTCAGTGGCGCGTGCCCCTGAGTTCAATTGCCTGGTATCAAAAAAAAAGGATTTGGAATGTAGCTCATTGCTTGTCTAGCATGTGCAAGGCCCCAAGTTCAGTCCCCAGTATCACAAAGAAGAAAAAAGAACTTCATTTTTCCCCAGAAAAACAACTTCACCAAATCTTTTATTTTTCTTCTGTGCTTTGTGAGTGCTTTTAAAGGGCAAGCTGCAAGCTCATCTCCCGAGTGAAGTTCTCAGTGGAAGCTGAAGTGCCACACTGTCAAGGAGAGAGAAATATTTATGGAGATGGTGATCTTGTTTGATCTTCCCTAGGGGGAGCTTTTCTTTTTTAAACTATGATGCAATATTTATTTTTTATATCTTTTTTTTAATTTGTTTTACTTAGTTACACATGACAGTACAATGACCTTGACATATCATACATTTGAATCAGATGGGATATAATTTCTCATTTTTCTGAGTATACAGGTTGCAGAATCACATTGGTCATGAAGTCACATATATACACACAGTAATAATAATGTCTGTTTCATTCTACTATCCTTCCTATCTCCCCAGCCCCTGCCCTCCCCTCCCCTCACTTCTCTCTACCTAATTAACGCTATTCTTTTTTTTTTTCCCTCACATCTTCATACATGTATTTTGTATAGCAATGAGGGTCTCTTTCCACCATCCATGCAATTCCCTTTCCCTCCCACCCCTCTTCCCTATGTAGAGGTAATCTTCTTCGCATGCTCTTCCTCTCTTCCCCATTTTGAGTCACCCCTTTATATCAGAGAAGACATTCGGCATTTTTTTGGGGGGGTGGATTGACTAACTTCACTTAGCATAATCTGCTCTAATGCCATCCATTTCCTTACAAATGCCATGATCTTATTATTTTTTAGTGCTGAGTAATATTCCATTGTGTATAAATGCCACATTTTTTTAATCCATTCATCCATTGAAGGGCATGTAGGTTGGTTCCACATTCTAACTATTGTGAATTGTGCTGCTATAAACACTGATGTGGCTGTGTCCCTGTAGTATGCTCTTTTAATTTTAAGGGCTTTTGAGTATAGTCTGAGAAGAGGAATGGATCAAATGGTGATTCCATCCAGCTTTCCAAGGAATCTCCATTACTGCTTTCCAGATTGGCTGCACCAATTTGCAGTCCCACCAGCAATGTATGAGTGTGCCTTTTTCCTCAAATCCTCGCCAGCACTTGTTGTTTGTCTTCATCATGGCTGCCATTCTGACTGAAGTGAGATGATATCTTAGAGTAGTTTTAATTTGCATTTCTCTGATTGCTAGAGATGATGAGCATTTTTTTCATATATTTGTTGATTGATTGTATATCCTCTTCTGAGAAGTGTCTGTTCAGGTCCTTGGCCCATTTGTTGATTGGGTTATTATTATTGGGGGGGGGGGGGTATTTAGCTTTCTGAGTTCTTTACATACCCTAGAGATTAGAGCTCTATCTAAAATGTGAGGGGTAAAAATTTGTTCCAAGGATGTAGGCTCCCTATTCATCTCACATATTATTTCTTTTGCTGAGAAAAAAACTTTTCAGTTTGAATTCATCCCATTTGTTGATTCTTGATTTTAATTCTTGTGCTATAGGTGTCTTATTAAGAAAATTGGGGCCTAGTCCCACATGATGGAGATTAGGGCCTACTTTTTCTTCTATTAGACACAGAGTCTCTGGTTTAATTCCTAGATCCTTGATCTATTTTGAGTTAACTTTTGTGCATGAGAGATAGGGATTCAATTTCATTTTGTTGCATATGGATTTCCAGTTTTCCCAACATCATTTGTGGAAGATGCTGTCCTTTCTCCAGTGCATTCTTTCAGCACCTTTGTCTAATATAAGGTAGTTGTAGTTTTGTGGGTTAGTCTCTGTCCTCTATCCTGTACCATTGGTCCACAAGCCTGTTTTGGTGCCATATATTTTATATCTTTATTTCAGTTTTATGTGGTGCTGAGGTTTGAACCCAGTGCCTCACGTGTGCTAGGTGAGCACTCTACCATTGACCCACAACCCAAGCTCCTGGGGGAGGTTCTTTTTGCTTCCTATCTTTAGAAGATGAACTTGGTTTCCATGTTCAGCTGTTGGTGTGTAACACTCTTTTTTGGCCAGAAGATGTCACTATAACATAAAGATAAAAGCAAAAACCTGGATCTTTACTGACAGATCTTATGTCTGTCACCAAATATACTATTTCTCAAATGATGGTCTTTGAAATAGTGTGTGTGTGTGTGTGTGTGTGTATGTGTGTGTGTGGTGCTGGGGATTGAACACAGGGGCTCATGCATGCTGGGCAAGAACTCTTTTTTTTTTTTAATTTGAGACAGGGTCTCGCTAAGTTGCTGAGCTGGCCTTGAACCTGTAATCCCCCTGCCTCAGCCTCTTGTGACACTGGGTATGTGACTCTTAATAATGATCTGTTTTTAACAACTAGACTTTTTTTTTTTCTTGGCAGTACTGGGGATTGAAACCAAGGTCTTCCACAAACAAGGAAATGCTCTACCATTGAACTATATCCCAAACGCTTTTTATTTTATTTTGAAATGGGGTCCTTGAACTAACTTGAATTATCCTTGAACCTGAGATTCTCCTCCCTCAGCCTTTCTAGAAGCTAGAATTATAGGTGCCAAACTACTTTAATTTTTTTTATTTTTATTATTTTGGAAAAAGAAGGTAGGTATGCCTGAGGACACAGTGACTAGTGACCGTGTCCTATACACTCTTATCTCTCACTGGCCTCACATTCCTCTGGGGACCCAAGGCTATCATAGAAATTCCTGCTGGCAGGGTTCTCACTGAGGACTGGGCCTGATGCTCTTGGGCTCAGGCAGGCAGAGAGACAAGGTCTTTCACTGTGACATTGTCTGGCTAAATTTTCTGTATAGAGTTGCTTTGGAGGAGAGGCTTCATGGAATGTGCCTGGGTCTGTGATATATATTTACATGCATTGCTATGGATCAAACTTGGGGCCTCATGCCTGCTAGGCAAACCCTCTACCACTGAGCCACACCCTCAGCTCCCAGAATTATTGTTATACTAATGAAATATATCACTTGCTGAACACTTAGGCATTGTCAATTCACTTCCTCCAAAAACCCTGGTTGCTCAGTATTATTTCTCTAGTTTTTTTAGTGGAAGAGTCCAGGGCTTTGTGAGATTTTATTTTATTTCTTCTTCTTGTTATTTTCAGTAGGTGGACAGTTAGGGATTGAACTCGGGCCTTGCACATATTAGGGACATGCTCTACCACTGAGCTGTCTCCCAGCCCACAAGAGCTCATTTCTTCCAAGAACTTTTATTTCATTTTTTTGTTGTTCTTGGATTTGAACAGGGCCTTGCACATCCTAGGTATCTCATCTGCCACTGAGCAACATCCCTAGGCCTTTTTATTTTATCTTGAGACAAGATCTAAGTTACCCAGTCTGAACTTGAACTTGAGATCCTCCTGTCTCAACCTCCTGAGACGGTTATTACAGGTGTGCAACACCAGGACCAGCTCTAATAGTTTTTTTTTTTTTTTCTTTAATGGCAAATGAAATGAAACACACAGGCTATGTCTGTGGTTATAAAAGCACTTACAAAGAAAACTGGTTGTATATTGTATACTGTCATGTAGAAAGTTTCTGATGAACTAATGACTTTCTTCTTCTTTTTTTTTTTTTTCCCCCTGGTACCAGGGATTGAACCCAGCAGTGCTTTACCACTGAGCTATATTCCCAACCATTCTTTTATTTTTTTTATTTTGATTTTGGGGTCTCAGTAAGATGCTTACAGCTTCACTGAATTACTGAGGCTGATTTGAACTTGCAATCCTCCTACCTCAGCTTCCTGAGTCACCAGGATTATAGGTGTGTGCACTGCCCAGCTTCTAATGAGCTCTGAGGAAGTGGACTCAGAGGAGTTTAAGCTGGGAAGAATGACCTGAAGAAGTTATCCAGGGCCAGATCATGAGGGTTGCCACAAGTTTAGAGAGAGGCAGCCTTGGAAGGGAAGGCTTTGCTGAGAGTTTTGAGAGTTGGAAAGATCACTCTGGCCATGGCTGGAGAGGGCAGTTAAGGAGGCTGCTATAGTACCCCAGGGCAAGGATCTAGGTCTGAACTAAGATATCATGCTGGGCAGTACTTCCTGACTGAGAGGTCTTGTGTGCTGTCCACAGCACCTACCATTTTAGGGAATGTTTTATTTCAGCATGCCCCTCTCCTTCCAGGCTGCAGATTTCATGCACCATAAACTCCCAGTTACAGCCTGTGACCCACCAGAGTGCTGGCATACGGGGTTGCTCAGTACCTTAAATCCTTTGCATGCTGTTTCATTTATGTGCAGAGGGGTTTTTTTAGTACTCTGTTGTCTGTTTATCTTAATGTTGTAAAACTATTTGTCCCATTCACAAAATTATGTTACAAAGAGTATAAGGGGAAGGCATAGGGCTTTGTGAAATTATTATTATTATTATTGGAGTTGGGAGGTACCAGGGATTGAATTTAGGAGCATTGGACCACTGAGCCACATCCCCAGCCCTATTTTGTATTTAGAGACAGCACCTCACTCTTCTTGAGACTGGCTTTGAACTCGAGTTCCTCCTACCTCAGTTTCCCCAGCTGCTGGGATTATAGGCTAGTGCCATCACGCCTGGCTGTGTAATTAGTTTTGATAGGTTCTTTTAAAAATGTCTCTTTGTGGGGCTGGGGATAAGCTCAGTTGGTAGAGTGCTTGCCTAGCATGCATAAGGCCTTGGGTTCAATCCCCAGCACCAGCCCCCAAAAAAGAGGACTCTTTGGTTCAGAGTCATTCCTTTTGTACAAATGGGAGAAAATTAAATAAGCATTGTTTTCCCCTACACCAGATGTAGATAAATATGCTAAATAACTTTTAGGAAATTCTAAGGATCTTGTATCTCTAAAATTTTCTTTGACATTCTTCAGAGTAAAAGGGCAAATTTGTTGCCAGTTTTGAGAAAAAGGAAGAAGAAAGTTTATTGCTTTGCTAGCAAAGGACAAACAGAGGACTCCTGCCCCAAAGGCTCTGATGCTGCCCATCCTCAGGAACAGGGGCCTTTTTATTGTGCTTCAGAGAAAATGAGATTAGGTAAGAGAGATCAGGGAGGAGATCAGAAAGAAGATTGGGAAAAAGAAAAAAAAATCTAAGTTTCAAAGGATCAAGTGAACCCTTGTTACAAAATGAGGTTAAAATGATCCTCAAAAATAAAACAATAGAAGCCAGGAGCAGTGGTGCACGCCTATAATTGCAGTAGCTCTGGAGGCTGAGGCAGGAGGATTGCAAGTTCCAAGCCAGCCTCAGCAATTTAGTGAGGCCCTGTCTTTAATAAAAAGAGCTGGGGATGTGGTTCATTGGGTAAGCACCCCTGGGTTCAATCCCTGATACCAAAAGAAAAAATAAATAAATAAGGCTGGGGATGTAGTGGTAGAACACTTGCTAGAATGCTTGACACCTTAAATTCAATCCTCAGCACCATAATACTTGATTAATTAATTAAAAAGGATTTTTGAGGACTGGGGTTGTGACTAAGTGGTAGAGTGCTTGCCTAGCATGCTTGAGGCACTGAGTTCAGTCCCCAGCACCACACACAAATAAAACAAATGAAGTGAAGGTGTTTTTGTTTTTTTGTTTGTTTGTTTTTTAAGGAGTATATTTAAAAAATAAATAGAATTTTTGAGCCAGGCACAGTTGTTGGTGCCTGTAATCCCAGTGGCTCTGGAGGCTGAGACAGGAAGATCGTGAGTTTGAAGCCAGCCTCAGCAAAAACAAGGTGCTAAGCAACAGTGAAACCCTGTCTCTAAATAAAATACAAACTAGGGCTGGGGATGTGGCCCTAACCCCGGTACACACACAAAAAAGAATTTTTGTTTTGGTTTTAGGTACTGGGGATGGAACTCTGGCCAGCCCTTTTTGCTTTTTGAGACAGTCTCAACAAATTGCTTAAGGCCTTGCTAAATTGCTGAGGCTGGCCTCAAAACTTGTGATCATCCTGCCTCAGCCTCTCAAAATGCTAGGATTACAGGCATGTGCCACCATCCCCAGCTAGAATTTAAAAAAAGAAGAAGAAGAAGAAGAAAAAAAGAAAAAGTAGATAAGCTGAATGAGTGGTTTAGTAAAAATAGATAATATTGTTGCTAAAAGTTTAGTCCTTGTTCCTGATGCCAATCCAATAAGGAGGACATGGTTTTGAAAAGGAAAGAAGTTTTATTGCTTTGCTAGCAAAGGACAAACCCAGAGGACTCCTGTTCTAAAGGTTGTGATTCTGTCCATCTGGGGGATCAGAGCTTTTTTAAAGAGATGTTAATTTAAAGGCTACATTCTCTTGTTGTAATTCACTTGTTAATTTGAGAGAGAATCATTTCTGAGATTCTCTGGTGCCATTCCCAAAATCTGAATTACTTAGTTCTTGCAATAGGTATGTACTCAAGGTCAGATAACTCTGCCTAGGATGGGGAAGAAAGGTAATCCTGTTTCTCCTGAGATTAGGGAAGAGCAGGGAGAGATGAAGAGAAAGAAACATGTCTGTTTTAAAAATAAGTTGCAGTGGGGAAGGGAGGGGACTTGGGGGTATGATATGAAAAGCCAGCCTCTACCTCAGAGCAAAGCCTGTCCAAGGAAGGGTGCCTGACCTTTGTCCTTGGAAAGACCCACAGAGCACTCCCAGGCCCATACCCACCCTGCTGAGTTGTTTATCTACAAATAACAGGAGAGATCTGCTGCCCAGGTGTCCCTGACTCAGTCAGGCTAGGTGGGGACCCATAGCAACCCCTTAGCAGCCACCAATCAGCATGAGACAGGGAAATACCTGGGATGCCAGATGACCCTCCCAGTAGTTTATGGGGGTTGATAACTTGTTGGGAAATATGTAGTTCAGCACGCACTCCCGTCATGGCTTAAACCAATCAGTTCAAATGAATCACCCCTACCCAACTTGTTCCCGCCAGTGAATGTGCTAATCATGTTTTAGAGTAGTTTTATGATTTTCCCGCGGTGTGTGATGATTTGCTAAGAGTTGTTATGATGTATGTGAAGTCCCTGCCTTCCCCAAAGAGTGAATAAAACTGCTGCAAACCCTGGGCTCCGGGCCTCAGGGTCACCAGTTGCTGTGTGTGCGTGGAGGACCGAGCTAGCTCACAATAAACACCTCTTTGCTGCTTACATCGATCTTAGTCTCTGGTGGTCTTTTGGGGGATCCCGAATTCGAGGATAACAGATAAACAGTAGAATGAGATGGACACCATTGCCCCAAGTACATGTATGAAGGTACAAATGGTGTGACTGTACTTTGCGTACAAGAGACATGAAAAATTGTGTAAGTTGCAAAGCAGGAAGTATTTATTTTTAAAAGCTCAGTCCTTGTCCTCAATACCAATCCAATAACAAAGGCACGGTTTTGGGAAAAAGGTTTATTGCTTCGCTAGCAAAGGAAAAACATAAGGTGCTGTCCCAAAAGCTGTGATCTGCCCATCAGCAGGAACAGGGGGCTTTTAAAAGAGGTGACTCAAAGGCTACATTCCATGTGTACTCTGTTGGAGTTGTAATTCACTTGTCCATTGGGAGATAGTCATTTCTGAGATCTTCTGGAATCATCACCAAAGTCTGGATTACTTCATTCCTGTGGTGGGTGTGTACCCAAGGACAGATAGCTCTGCCTAGAATGGAGGGGGGGGAGGTAATCCTGTTACCCCTGAGATTAAGGAGGAACAGGGAGAGAGGAAGAGAAAGAAACATGTCCATTTTTAAAAATAAGTTGCTGTGGCAGAGCAGAGAGGGCTAAATTCAAAGCATAAAGTGGACCACTGTTACATGAGGACATTACAAGGCTTTTTAGGAACTATACAAAAACCAATTATAACAAAAGGTGTTCTCTTGTCACTCAGGAAACTACAAGGGTTTTCAGAGCTCTGTGCCAAGGATGAAGGCCCACTACACTTTCTCAGTTCATATTCTGTGTGTTTCTCCTTCTCAGGAAACACGATGCTCCTCCTCATACTGTGCATGCAGCATTCTTTCCCTGAGCCCAGCAGGTTGTACCTTGACCTCATTCTGGCCATCCTGGCCCTGGAACTGCTCTGCTCCCTGACCTGTCTGCTCATTTATGCAGGTGAGAATCGCCATTTTTCCATTTTGTAAGACCTTTACTTAACTGTTTTTTCCTCCTAGTTTGACGCGTAGACCATTGTTTTAGCGACAAGGAAGTTTTCCTGTGTAGCTGAGAACCTTTTTGCATCTGTATGGTCCACTGCTGGTCACATCCAGGCTCCTCTCCTCTCAAACCAATAGGGAAAAGGTACACCTGCAGCCCCCAGTGAGGCACTTTTCCAAGTTTGTGTCTTCAATAAGTTTTTGTCAACTAAAGTGAAGCCTTTTCATTTGAAAACAAGAAAAAAGCCTGATAAACTTTTTGCTTCCACTAAAGTCAACCAAAGTATAACTCTGATATTTAAAAATAAAAGCAACCGTCTGGTGTGATGGTGTGTGCCTGTAATCTCGCGGCGCGGAGGCTGAGGCAGTGTTAACTGAAAGCCCGGTCCTTGTCCCCATGCCAATCCAATAACAAGGACACAGTTTTGAGAAAAAGGAAAAAGAAGTTTTCTTGCTTTGCTAGCAAAGTAGAAACACCGGGACTCCTGTTCCAGAGCCTGATTCTGCCCATCAGCAGGAGCAAGGTTTTTATAGAGACAGTCAAAGGCTACATATCACATGTTCTCTGAGTTTGTAATTCACATGTCTGTTTGGAAGATAGTCATTTCAATGCCACTTGGTGGCATTGAGCTAATGGTGGTTTTGTTACTATGAATGTATCCATTTGAAAGAAATCATTTCTCTGGTGCCATTCCCCAAGTCTGAATTACTTAATTCCTGTGATGGGTGTGTGCTCAAGGACAGATAACTCTGCCTAGAATGAGGAAGAAAGGAATCCTGTTTTCTCCTGAGATTAGGGAGGGGGAAGGGATTAAAGGGCTAGGAATGTGGCTCAGTGGTTAAGTGCTGGGTTCAGTCCCTGGTATCCAAACATAAAATAAAAGTAATACAAGATAATTAAATATATGAGGAAATTATAGATGCAAAACTGCATTTACCTCTAACTTGTTTTGGGGTAAGCCATTTAGGAACCCATTTTCTGAGTTTAAAAATGTCTTTCGCTCTCTAAAAACCCTCAGAGGTAAAATTGAATAAACTTTAGATACGTTAAAATGTTTTTATATACTATTTTTAATTTATTTTATTTTTTCATTTATTTAGCAGTACTAGGGATTGAATCCAGTAGCACACTCTCACTGAGCTACATTCCCAACCTTTTTTGTTTGAGAAAGGGTCTTGCTAAATCGCCCAGTCTGGCCTCTAAATTGCAACCACCCCCTGCCTCAATCTCCCAAATCATTGGGTTTAGGATTACAAGCATGTGCCAATGCACTGGGCTACAAGGACACTTTAACAACGAATTCAGGGCTGGAGAAATCTAGATTTCAGTTCTGCTTCAGGCTGTGCAGTCTGTCCATAATAGCAGCTAACTTGGTGGCATTGAGCTAATGGTGGTTTTGTTACTATGAATGTATCCATTTGAAAGAAATCATTTCTCTGGTTGTCAAGCAGTCATCTGGGCCTTCTCTCAAGTTTCATTTTACTGATTTTGTGTGTGTGTCCTTGAGGCCAACAGGAGGAGGTTTATAATACCAAGAGTGATTAGTCTGTAAATGAGTGAGTTGCTGCAGGGTTCAAGGCCAGAGACCTGACTCCGGGGATCCAGCAAATTGGGTCCCTCCATTCTCCCAGAAAACCAGAGAGAAAAGGAAATGGTGAAAAGCATGAAAAAAACTTTAATCAGTGTAGTTACTCTAGGAAGAAAATGGGACCTGCGTCCTTAGCCTTGTCTCAGACGAGGAGTTGACAATGACTTTGAGGTGCAGTCTGTCGGAAATAGCAGCTAACTTGGTGGCATTGAGTTAATGGGAAATGAAGCCTATGGGTTTGCATGGCTGGAGGCTTCTAAAGCAAGTGACCTTGGGCAGGTGTGGTCAGTCCAGTTTTATCTCTGGATGGGTCTGGCTAGGCCCTGTTTGTATAGGAAGTTTATTGAGCTGAGGGAGCAGGATGTACACACCTGTAATCCCATTGACTGGGGAGGCTGAGACAAGATAGTTAGGAATTTGAGGCCAGTCTTAGAAATTTAGTGAAACCCTGTCTCAAAAAATAAAAGGACTGGGGATATAGCTCAGTGGTGAGGTGCCCCTGGATTCAATCCCCAGTACCAAAGAATAAAAGAAAAAAGAAAGATATTTATTAATCAGATGTGACTCAAAGCAAAGGAGGCTGATGCAAAATGGAGGCAGAGGTGCGATGTTTCTAATCCTGCTTTAGCCATCCATCATATGTCTGCAGGCAAAAGCAAGGAGTCTGTCTTTGTTAAATGTTACGGATAAACTGTACACTGATTTTAAATGTATTTATTTATTTATTTTTTTAAAGTTCCCCAAGAATTTTCCTAGCCAATTGCATTTCACTTTTTTTTTTGAGAGAGAGAATTTTTTAATATTTATTTTTTTAGTTTTCGGCGGACATAACATTTTTATTTGTATGTGGTGCTGAGGATCGAACCCAGCGCCACGCACGTGCCAGGCAAGCACGCTACCGCATGAGCCACATCCCCAGCCCTTAAATGTATTTAGTGGTTAGCAGTTATTCGGGTTGAGTATAGGATTATACTTGCACTTCACTGGTAAAACAAGGTGTGTATTGGCTGGGCACAGTGGCACATGCCTGTAATCCTAGCGATTCAGGAGGCTTAGGCAGGAGCATCACAAGTTTTAAGGCCAGTCTCATCGATTTAGCAAGACCCTGTCTCAAAAAAGAAAGGGGATTGGGATGAGAGATGATAACTAGAGATGTAGCTCAGAGGTAGAATACCCTGGGTTCAGTTCCCCAATACTGCAAAGAAAGGGAGGAAAAAAAAGAAAAAAAAGCATGCATACCACCCAGTTAACTTTATAGAATAGAATGAGACTTTCATTTTCAGAACATTATTAGTGGCTCAGTACATCAATAAAATGATGCACGTGTCATAAGTAACATTTAATTATCCTTTCGATTGAGATCAGTTTCATTCTGTGATATATCGTGTCTCTTTAGTGTTGTAATGAGAGTTAGGTTTGAGCATAGGAGTTCATGAGCATTTTAATGAGTTTATTTTTATAGTGTGGAGGATGTATAAATAAATAATAAATAAATAAATAAATACATTTCCGGGTAGGCAAATGCTCACCATGGAGCCATACCCCCAGCCCCATAGGCTTACTTTTTATGTTATAGTGAATTTAAAGGCACACTATAGGTTCTCACAGGAGAGAATTTAGGGAGTAGCTGCTAGAGACACTTGCTGCTGAATGTGGCATGTCACAGAATATTTGAGGTTGGTTCTCTTATAAAGGCGTCTTTCTTGTTTCTTTATACTAAAAGGGTTTTTTTTTTTTTTTTTTTAAGAGAGAGCTCTGTTGTGGTGATGTTAGTAGAAGCCCTTTAGGACATTGATTGATTGAGGTACTAATTCTGCTCTAAACTTGACTAATTTATTTGTATTGTAGGTAGTTAATCTCCAGAAACTAAAAAGGGACTCTTCTCATTGAGCATTAATTTGACTTACTGCCTCTATAGGGAAAAACTAGGAAAATAGAGTTTAAAGCATTTTTTGCAATAATAAATTAGATTAACTCTCCATTCATTCAAACATAAGCAAGAAGAATCCATTCAAGCCACAGTTCTGATCCTTCAAGCAGCCCTGAAGTAAGAGTTCCAATACAGGATCAAAGAACATGTGAACAGTGTGCCAGCTCACCTGTCCTTTTATTCTGATGTTCTGACATACATGCTTTCTCTGGCTCATGACAGGAAAAATGACTAGAAGATTCATATTCTGTGTGGTTTGCCTTGGTGTTTTATCTAACCTGTGATCTGAAAATGCCTGAATGCATCCAATTCAATTGCTTTTCTTTTTTAAAATATTATTTAAAAAATTTATTTGGTGGTGGTACTGGGAATTGAACCCAGGGCCTTGCACATGCTGAGCAATTGTTCTACCAATGAGCTACATCCCTAGTCTTTTTCTTTCAATATATTTTGAGACAAGGTCTTACTGAGTTGCTGAGGCTGATCTCGAATTTGTAATCTTCCTGCCTCAGTCTCCTAAGTCTCTGGTATTATAGATGTGGGCCACCACACTGAGCAAAATGAATATTTGTATGCCATCAGACTATGGGTACAGGTTTTATTTCCCATTCTAAACTTCTCCTTTAAAACTATGTAAGTGTTATCCCCTGGTCCCCAGTTCAAGAAACTTCTGTGTCTAAAAGATGAATGTGTTCCAGTTTTCTTTATTTATTTAGAAATTATGTGGAAGAAACCATTTTAGAGAGACATGAATATAAACAACTGGTGTCAGACACACCAGCAGCCCTCATCTGTTGGATCTTCCGGGGACCCTGGACAGTTGATCACGCCTCCTTGCAGTGTGTTCATTTGCTGAGACTCACTTTCCCGGAGGTTTTCTGACTGCCCTTCTGTACTTTTCTCCTTTGCTGAATGTTCTCCAGACCTGTCATAGGTGGGGCCTCTGTCTTCTCCAGCTTGGCAGGTGCAGCACTTCATGTTCTGTGCCCAGTTCCACTTAAGTCAAAGCATTCTTCATTTCTGATTTCCTTGGCCACTTAATAAAATTGAGGGGCTTCTATATATTTCCATTCTTTGTACCTTTGACTAGGTACTGCTCACTTCCTTACTGGTCCTTTCTGGAAACTGTCTGCACATCTCATCTTCTCATGTTAATAATTCACTTGAACTTCTTCAACTTAGTTCTCAGCTGAGAATGTACTTCAGGATCAGATGTGGAGTCTGGCAATTCCTCAAAGGAAGGATTAAACATTGATTACCCTGTGGCTCAGCACTTAACTCCTAGGTATATATCCAAGAGAACTGGAATTGTGTGTCCACACAAACACACATACGTGAATATTCAACGCAACATTATTCGTAATGGCCAAAAAGTGGACACAGCCCAAATGTTTTCGGGGTAAACTGATGAACAGTTGAACAGAATGTGTATACTGCAATGTGGATAAACCTTGAAAACTTCCCCAGTAAAAGAAGCCAATTATTTTTAAAACTACCTAATTACGTGATTCTGTGTCTGTGAAATGCCCAGAGAAGGACATTCGAAGAGACTCTTTTCTAAAGTAGTCCTGATGCTGTAAAGTAGTGTAAAGACTGTATCAGGACTCCTAGTTTAGAAGCCTGGCTGAACTTTACTCATTTGTATAAATAGGAGTAAAATAGCCACTTCACCAGGTGATTATCTGAACAAAATGAGGTCCTGGTGTAAAACACTTAAACTGTATCTCATGCATTGAGTACACCATAAACGTCTGTTGTTATTATCAGTGCCAGTAATAATCTTCTCTCTCCAGTGCTAGTATCAGATTGGTAGAATTTGAAATGTTTGAGAACATTAATGAATAAACCAGCTAAAAAACAGCCAATTCATGTAATTTGAATAAATGAAAATAGGAACTTTTGACTAATAATGACTTTATTCTTTTAGTGAAAATTAGAAAATTTAATAGAGCCAAACCACAGCCTGATGTACTTGAAGAAGAAAAAATCTATGCTTACCACAGCAATATTACCTCGGAAACCGGATTAAGGTAAGGTTTAGGTGAGAAATTAAAACTTAAAGAATTAAAAGTTGCTTTCCCTAGAAACCATTTGAGGCTTGATTAGGCATTTATACCATTTTAATTATGTTTAATTTGTTTTCAGTTGTGGTCAAACCAAGTCTAAATTAACATGTAGATTTACCAAATATGTGTGATGTAAAAGTGAGGTTAGCCATGTATCAACCTCTCAGAGGTCTTTTCTTTTCCATTATTTTTTATTTGAAAAAAATATTTTTTTCTTTTGAGATAGGGTTTGGCTGAATTATCTAGGCAGATCTTGAACTTGTGATCCTCTTGGCTCCGCCTCCTGAGTAGCTGGGATTACAAGTGTGTGACACCATGCCTGGTCCACTTGAAGTTTGTTTTTTGTAACCCAGGGGTACTTATCCATTGAGTACATCCCAGTTTTTTTGTTTTGTTTTGTTTTGTTTTTGGTACTGGAGATTGAACTCTGGGGCACTCAACCACTGAACCACATCTCTACCCTATTTTGTTTTATTTAGAGACAGGGTCTCACTGAGTTGCTCAGTGCCTCACTGTTGCTGAGGCTGGCTTTGAACTTTTGTGATCCTCCTGCCTCAGCCTCTGGAGCCACGGGGATTATAGGCATGCGCCATCATGCTCAACTTCCACTCAAAGCTTTTGATACTGTGGGTTACTCCTTCTTTAACTGAAAAACATTTTTATGGGTGTTTTTTGGTAGACTTCTCTAATACTACAAGGTGAGGATTCATTTACAATAAATAGATGATATTGATAAATACACGTAACTCCTTTATATCTTGATTTTTATTATTATTATTATTATTTTTTTGCAGGACTATTTCAAGCCTAGAAGAAATTGTTGAAAAGCAAGGAGACATAATAGTGTACTTGAAGCGACACAATGCCCTGTTGAGTAAGCGGCTGTTGGCACTCACTTGCTCAGACCTAGCCTCTCAGCCAAGTAGGACATGAGAGGCTCACAGGCGTGATCATGGCTGAAGAGTTCAGAGCAACCTCAGACTGAAGGACGGCCTGTCCTGCTGCCCTAGGGAACCACAGCCCTTGCTGAAAAACATTGTGTAGTGTGTTGGAAACTTGAACTTGGTTCTCACCTGTGTGGCTGTTTAGTAGATGGGGCTTATGGATCATTTGAAAGGTACTTTGTAGAAGTACTTTGCTAACTTGAGAAGAATGTCTGTTTTGTACATTTTTAAATAATTGAACTTCTTGGTTTTTCCTAGGATCGAAGGTACAGTTCAATTATCCCATGGCCAACAGTTTTTCTACTTGATATTAGATCCCTCTAATAGCTGGGGATGTAGCTCAGCAGTAGGGCATGTGTTTAGCATGCACAAGCCCCTGGTTCAATCCACAGCAACACCCCCACTGCTCCCCCCCCAAAAGCCCTGTGATAATATGGCTATTTGTAAAGTAAAACTGACATAATTTATTTTAAACAGGGGTTTTAAATAAGTTCTTTCTTTTGTGGAGTGGGAAAGTACTGGGGATTAAACTTGGGTACTTTACCAATAGGCTATGTCCCCAGTCTTATTTTATTTTAAATTTTGAGACAGGGTGTTATGAAGTTGCTGAGGCTGGCCTTAAACTTGTAATCCTCCTGCCTTAGCCTCCTAAGGCACTGGTATTACAGGTGTGCACCACCACACCCCACAAGTTCTTCCAACTCTTAAGCTAATGAAAGGAGTCATTATTTCTTATGGTTAATGTTTTTTCTCTGCAGACCCTTATTGTGTATTTTATATGCTCATGTGATATTGAATAACAATACTCTTTTTTCACATACTCTTTTTTCATCCCCCCAGGCAAGCTCTCTACCACTGAGCTGCACCCCCAGCCCCCATGCAGCTTTTATAGAGAATTTCTTCACTGTAGGACCAAGGCCTCACTGGGTGATCAACAATACAAATTCTACATTGTTCTGTTCTTCTGAAACAAGATAGGAAAATTACCTGGACCAGTGTGAGCCCAACCAGCAATACCTGTTACCTTGGTAGTACCTTCCATTGGCAAAAGCTGAAAAATTTAAAGGATTTATGTCTTTCACTTTATTTTTGCTCTTCTTCAAGAAGTTGCCGTGTATTTCTGTACTAATTATCCTTTCATTGGGTCATTAATTTCAGTATAGAAATGGAACCTTCTATGATTTTAAATCTGTATAAATAGAAAAAAAGCACTTTATTTAGACTTGGATTATATGTAAAAATTGTGATGGGAATAAAATGTCATATCAGTTTCTATACAGATACTAAACATACCTAGTTCTTGATATAAAAAGTATTTTTGTGAGTAAATGGAATTATTTCTCCATTCTTCCTAGCGCACCCCTTTAATTTATCAATTTGCTCGCAGTACCTCTACATGCTGCCTTCGATTTTTTTTGTTGTTGTTGAAGGCTCAGTATGGGGGGAGGAGATATTTGTGATTATGCAGTGATTATGTGTAGTCAGTAGATGAATACTGTGACTTGACAGCTATCCATAGCTTTATAGGAATGTTTTGGATGACCAGATAGACGAGGAATGTATTCATTGGATCTGTTACATATGGAGAGCAGATACCTGTTTCCTTTAGATACAGCCATTGCTGGGGCATCTAAAATTTTTCTAAGATAAATATGATTATGTGTCACCTGCAGGTAAATACAGTTGAATCCTCAAAATAGTGACATTCACAAACTGAAGCCAAATTGTATTTTAAAATTTAGATTCTAAATTCCCAGCCCGGTGTGATGGCCCACGCCTGTAATCCTAGCAGCTCAGGATGCTGAAGCAGAAGGATTGTGAATTCAAAGCTAGCCTCAGCAACTTCGAGTCCTGAGCAACTCAATGAGACCCTGTTTCTAAATAAAATATAAAAAGGGCTGGGGATGTAGCTCAATGGTTAAGCACCCCTGGGTCCAATACCAAAAAAAAAAATTAAATTTTAAGTTTCCTCCCTTTCCTTTCTTTTTAATAGGTGTCTCAAAGCTATTGCTTTCTCTGGAAAATTGTTTCTACATTTTGGAAGAGCCTATAACCGTTGCATCCAGTTGTTTTCCTTAAAACACCAGTGGTTTTGAGCCAGGCTTGGTGACACACACCCATAATCCCAGAGATTCAGACACCTGAGGCAGGAGGATCACAAGATAAAGGCCAGACAACTTAGTGAGACCCTTTCTCAAAATAAATAAAAAGGACTGGGTATGTAGCTCAGTGGTAAAGCACCCCAGGTTCCATCCTTAGTATGGGGGGAGGGGGGCAATGGTGTACCCCACTGAACACATTCTCAGCCTTTTTTATTTATTATTTTGGGGCAGGGTCTCATTGTCACCCAGGCAAGGCTTGAGCTTGTTACCTTCTATCTCGATCTCCTAAATTGCTGGGATTACAGGTGCATGTCACTATGCCTAGCTCCCATCAGTAATTTTAAAGATATAATATTTATTTTAAAATGCAGTTTGGATATATTCAGTTTCTGAGATGTACTTGATGAACATGGGTTTACAGGGAAAGGTATGATAAAGTTGGGATGTTCGGGTCTGATATGATATCTGTATAATCACTAACACTTTTCTAAACTCAGTAAGGAACATTTCAAACAGTAAACGAAAGTAAGTCTCAGTAATAGCAGAATGGGAAAATGGACAAAACAATATAAATGTTAGGGATTCTATTCATCGGACTAGTTTTGTGCTAGCATTGTGGATACAAAAAATTAAAACCTGGCTTGCAGTTTACATTCTAAAGAAGGTAATGATTTCTAGGCTCTTCTAAATGCAATAATTGCAGAAGCCCTGGATATAGGTGCACAGCTGGGTACAGTGGCACAGGCCTGTAATCCCAGCTACCGGGCAGGCTGAGGCAGGAGAATCACAAGTTGGAGGCCAGTTTCAGCGACTTCTTGATACCTTGTCTCAAAACAGGCTGGGGAATGAAGCTCAGTGGTAGAACACTCCTAAATTCAGTGTCTGGTACTGAAGAAAAGATAACTATAGGAACACCGAGTCAGAGGATACACTTGGGTGGTAGGTTTTAGGAATTCCTGGCAAACTAATAGTAAAGAAGCAAAGCAGATAGCTACAAAATACCACAAGCACATTGTATAGAAGGCGTTGTATAGAACTTGAAACCGAGGGTCTTCAGATCTTGGAGGCCTTGACCATATGCTGAGGAGCTTGCACTTATTATATTGATAATAGGATCCACTGAAAGATTTCAATCAAGGAAACGATGTCACTTTTAGGGGGATCTGATTGTAGTTTGAAATGGAGGAAAGAGGGTAGCAAAAAGATATAGCCCTGAACAAGGGCAGGTATAAGAACATTTAATTGTGATTATATATGTGTATATGTAAATATAAAGATGTACATGTGTGATCCAAATGACAATAGCATCATGACATAAAGTTAAAAGCTTGTTATTTTTTAATGGAGACATTGAAAAATATAAAGAAAAGCAATGATTCGAAATTCTACCAAGTATTTATACCTATTTGGACTGCTGTTTTTTTCCTACCCTAATCAATTGTGGCTGTTGTCATTCTGTAATCCCTGCCCATTGGATGGAATATTGTTTCAAATTGCATTTCTTCAAACAGTAATGAAACTGATGATTTTTGCCAGATTCTTTGGCCTTTTATAAATCTTCTATGATGTGTATTAAAGTCTTCTGCTTAATATTCTCCCAGAATAATGATTATTATATAATCATTATTTATATATAATTATATATGATTATTGTATAATAATTATTGTCATATTATTATCCTGGGCGATAATATAATGTTATAATTATTGTTTTGGCAGCCCTAAAGATTGAACCCTGGGCCTTATGTATGCTAGGTAAGCACTGTAAAACCACTGAGGTACATCCCCAGTCCTTCCTTATTTTGTTCTGAGACAGGCCCTTGTTAAGTTGCCCTGGCTGGCCTTGAACTTGAGATCCTCCTGCCTCAGCCTTCTGAGTGCTAGAACTATAGGTGGGTATATGTTTGTTGAAAATGTGTTCTAATTTGTTGGAATTCTATTGCTTTTTGCTCTTCAGATACTGAAGCCTAATTTATTCTTCCCCCAGCACTGGTGATAAAGTTCACACAAAAGACTTCCTAAAGCCACATGGGATGTGATGTCATGTGGGGGGCCACCACAGACTCTTTTTCTTCTTTCAAACACTTAAACCAAAATCTTTACTGAGCTGGGCACTCACCTATAATCCCATCAATGGGGAAGCTGAATCAGGGGGGCGGTTTACAAGCTCAAGGCCAATCTGCAGCTTGGTGAGACTGTCTTAAAACTGTATGTATATGTGTGTGTGTATACACACACACACACACACACACACACATATATATATATATATATATATTTTTTTTTTTTTTTTTTTTTTTAAAGCCTGGGGAGGTGAACTCAGGAGGCTTGGATCCTGGAGGAGGAGGAGATCCCCTTACCCATAACTGCTGCAAATGCTGGTCCACCAAGTTCTGGAAATGCAGATGACCAGTACCATGATCTGCCTTCTGATGCCCCTGTGGTGCATTTATGAAGGGAGCCTCAGCCTTACAACAGATATATCTTGGGGATTCAGGTCCTCCTTGGGCCTCCATTCCCTATGGCATAGAACAACTCATGAAAATTCACACCTTACCTAGAAAACATGATCCCACCAGCCCAGATAGGTCTCTCTTCCCAGAATGCCTTGACTGAGGGGGTGTGGCTGGCATTGATCTTCTTGGTACCTTCTGACCCAGTCATGGCTCCTGACAGAAAGTCTGTTACCCAAATCCAGACCAGTGGACAGATAGTTCCAAACACCTTTCATGGATGGGATCCAACCTACCCAGAGCTGAGCTCCAGGATTTGTACTTTTATGTAAGATAAGCTACCTTTTTTTTTTTTAAAGGGGTGTGTGTGCTGGGGATGGATAGTGGTAAAGCATCCCTAAATTCAATCCCCAGTACCCTCCCAATAAATAAAAAGTCTTGTCTGAATCAATGCTTTTGTCTTTTTCCCCCAGTTTCCCCTAAGGCAAGCTGTCTCAACTGTAGCATCTACTGGCATTTGGGTTGGATCTTTCTTTGTTTGGGGAGCCTGTCCTGTACATTGTAGAATGTTTGACAGCATCCTAGTGAAGAGGATTCCCGTAGAATGCCCCTAGTTGTCTCAGCCTGGAAAATATCTCCATTAACCCTTAGTAACTTAATGTCTGTTCCATGTTCAGTGTTAACATTTAGCTGAGAGCCAACAGTGCAGAGTGTTCTAGGTGCTGGTAAAACCAGGGTCATTGAGACAGAAAACATTCCTGTCTGGAATCTGCACTTTACTGGTGGAGAGTGGATGGAGGAAGAATGGAAGTGAAGACAATAGACAACCAACTTTTGGTTTTGGTAGGTTCAAACTACTTGGAGCACTCATGTTGAGAACTATGCCTTGGAGTAATTCAGAAGATCAACTGGCAAAGGAAATGAATTGCCTGTCCTCCTTCCCCAGGAGTTACAGGAAAGGTCTTTTTTTTTTTTTTCAGTTGTTGATGGACTTTTATTTTTATTTATTTGTATGTGGTGCTGAGAATCGAAGCAAGCATGCTATCGCTCAGCCCCAGCCCAAAAGGGCTATCCTTTTAACAGGGCTATCTAGTGGAGATATTTTCATGATCTCACAGTCTGGTCAGAGATGCTTTTATAAATCATTAAGACAAAACTCTGATCTTGTAAGTTCTTGAAATAGTGTGTGTGATCCTGGGGAATCAAACCCAGGTCCTTGCCCAGCCAGCACTAAGCACTGTACCACTGAGCTACACATTAGGCTCCAGATGTGGAATTTTTTTTCCCCCCCAGTGAACCCAAGGGCACTTTACCATTGAGGATACATCCACATCCCTTTTTATTTTTTATTTCAAGGCAAGGTCTTGCTAAGTTGGTGAGGCCGGCTTCAAATCTTTAACCCTCCTGCCACGGCCTCTGCAATTGCTGAGGTTGTAGGTTTGCACCACCACGCCTGGCTGGATGGAGTTTTTTAATGTTTTTATCTGATTCTAATCACTTTCCTGGCCAAACACCAACCTACAAATATTTGTTTTAACACAGCAGCCAAATCTTTTGGTGTGGGGGTAACTGCTGAGCTACATCTGTTTTTTGTTTTTTTTTTTAACTTTGAGGTGGGGTCTCATGAAATTGCTAAGAGCCTCGCTAAATTGCTGAAAATGGCCTCCTGCCTCAACCTTCCAAGTTGCTAGGATAACAAGCAGGTGCCTCCATACCCAGCCCTAGATTCTTTTAACCATACATTGTCATGCTAAGAGTCTTTCTCAGTAAAAACCAAAGTCCCAACAGTGACAGGGCCCTGGGAAGTCTGCTCTACCTCATACCCCCACTCCCTTTTCTGCTTCACCCTCTGCTTTCTCAGCTTTTGTTACTTTGTGGATTGCCATGCACATTCACAGATCAGGACTTTTGCACTTGTTGCCTGGACCTGAAATGGCCAACTGTCATGTATCTTTTATCTCTTTCAAATCTTTGTTCCAATACCATCTTGTTAAGGAGCTCATCTCTGATCACAACGTCCATGCCCACATGGACCCCTTCCCTCTCCCTTGCTTGTTTTCTATTTACTTACCACCTACCATACTGTGTAAGGTACTTTGTCCCCTGACTACAGGGTAAGCTCCATTTGGGGCTCATGACTGTCTCCCTCAAACCTACAACAGTGTCTGGCACAAAATAAGCACTCAATTATCTGCTTAATGTTACTAACCTCAGTGGGGTTTTGTTATCTATAAGATAATCCACCCGAGGACTTTCTGTTTATGAAGTCCTAAATTGAGGGATCACTTTTAAGGTCATTTTTAGAAGTGCAAATTTATGACACAAAATAGCCAGCACAGTGGTGCCCGCCTGTAATCCCAGCATCCTCCCAGCGTCCTCGGTAGCCTGAGTGAGACAACAGGGTCCCAATTTTTAGGCCTGAAAACCTTATCTAGATCCTATCTCAAAATGAAGAAAAAAGTGGGGATGCGGGTGTTGCTGGGATGGGTGTTGCTGGGACATAGCTCAGGAGTAGAGCACCCCTGTGTTCAATTTCCAATACCACAAAAATAAATGAATAAAATACCAAGAGAGGGCTGGACGCGGTGCTCAGGAAGCCTAGGCATTAGGATTTCGAGTTCCAAGCCAGCCTCAGCAAAAGCAGGGCACTAAGCAACTCGGTGAGACCCTGTCTTGAAGTAAAATACAAAATAGGGCTGGGGATGTGGCTCAGTGGTCCTCAGAGTGTCCCTGAGTTTAATTCCTAGTATCCCCCTTCCCCACCAAAAAAGAAAAAAAAAAGTAACATAAAGCCAGATAAGGTAGCACATACCTGTTCCGGCTACTTGAGAAGCTGAGGCAGGAAGATTACAAGTTCAAGCCCATCTGGAGCAATTTAGCAAAACCCTGTCTCACAAAACAACACTGAACTCAGTGGAATAGTGCTTGTCTAGCAAGCACAAGACCCCAGGTTTGATCCCTGGCACTGAAAAAAGGTAGAAATGACTTTTCCTAGAAAAAGGATGACAATTTTATGATCACTGTTATTTACTGTTATCTTAAAGTGCCTATCAACTCAACTTATCAATGAAGGTGCAAGATAAATATCATACGCATGGATGGCAATATACCTGGAAAATTTCTAAAGAATTAACTGAAGCAGTCAGGCCTGGTGCCGCACAACTGTAATCCCAGAGGCTCAAGAGGCTGAGGCAGGAGGATAGTGAGTTCAAAGCCAACCTCAGAAACTTAGGGAGGTACTAAGTAACTGAGTGAGATCCTGTCTAAATAAAATATAAAAGGGGGGATGTGGCTCAGTGTTTAAGCATCCCTGGGTTCAATCCCGCCACACACACAAAAAAAGTTAACTGAAGCTCTCCTTCCCTATGGCCATGTTCTGAGCTGCTTTCCTTCACCACACTCTTCTGCTATGATGTTCTGCCTCACCTTGAGACCAGAGCAATGAAGCTGACCGTGTCTGGACTGAGACCTGTAAAACCAAAGTTTTAGCTTCACGTTATTGGGAATGGCAATCTGTAAAAGGAATCATAATTGCATTAGCATCTTGTCACAAAGGAGTTGGGAAGTACAGATGAAGAATAAAGAAAGACTTCCAAGAAGAAAAATGCAGACCTTGCAGAAAGATGAGCTGTTATGAAAATAGACTTTGTCCCCCAAAATGCCCCACACTCTTATCATTTGGTAAAGAAGGAAAGAAGTGCACAAGAGGACGGTGACTACAGAGGAAGCCAGGGGTCATCTGGGTTAGCAAAAAGCATAGGATTAAGATCAGTAGCACCTGTTGCTGTGTCCTGCTGGTCGCCCAAAGGACCCAGCCATAGACAAGAAAAGGGAGAATCCTGTGAGAAGGCAGCTGACACAGCCAAGGACTACCAGGGGATTGGAGACCCACAGGATCTGAGACTGGACCAGGCAGCAGGGCATTGTGGGAACCTAGAGAATAGATGCAGCCCTCAAGGCCCTCAAGAGCCAGTGGAACTTGAGAGCATCATGTGAAGTGAAATAAGCCTGACTCCAAAGTAAAGGATCATGGGAAAGGGGATTGGGGATCTCATAAAAGTAGAAGGGAAACCAGTGGAGTAAAGGAAGCAGAGGAGGGAGGTGGAAAGGAAAAGGGTGTCAAGGAATGAAGTTGACCGATT